CATGGATGAAACTCAATGGAGAGCCATGGATGAAACTCAATGGAGAACCAACTCTGGCATCTTTTTAGGGCCCGAGGGTATTGAGATCCCGCAGCCCCGTTGGACAGAAGGTGGTTATTCAAGAAAGACGGCTCGGATTGTTGTGAGACCAGTTTTTCCTGGAAAAATTTTGGCATGATTTTTGCAGAGGAGATCGGGAGAGGGCACCCAGGATCCCTGGCTCACCAGAGCACCACGGCGTTCCCCAGCGAGCCCACGGCCAGGTCCACGAGCCCGTCCTCGTTCAGGTCCAGCTGCCCGTGGATGCTGCATCCAAAATACATCAGGCCCGGGGCGAGGTCGGCGGCCGCGATCCGCTGGAAAGGAACGGGAGCAATCCAGGCTGGATTCCAGCAGGAGCATCCCTGCCTGCCAAGGCTTTGCCAGGCTGGCTCCGCCTCGCCCTGAAAATCCCCCGTTCCAAGAGAGCATGCTAAACACGGCTTTCCAGGGAATTGCTCTTTGGAAAACAGAAAGCGTTTGTTTCGAGAGCAATTTCGCTTTGGAGACACCATCCAAGGTTGCTACTGGATTTACCCTGTATTTAACATTTATCAAAAGTGTAATAAAAAAAAAAATTAAAAATTGTAATTAAATAATTAATCTATAGCAGTCCCTTGCAATGAATGCTAAACATTGCCTCTAATTTCAAGCCTCTTTCCCCACTATTCCATGGAATAATTCTGGTTGGAAAAGCCAGCCAAGACTGTGGAGTCCATCCACCCCCTGGCTCTGCCAAGGCCACCACAAAGTGTCCCCAAATGCCACATCCACACATCTTAAATCCCAGCAGGGGTAGGGACTCCACCAGTGCTGCTCCAATGCTTGAATTCCAACCTTTTGTCTTGGATGCCTCAAACGAGGAAATATCTCACCGTAATAATTAACAATTAAATCCCAGGTGTGGATTTTTCCTTAAAACAGGGACAAATTATATTTTTCCCACAAAAGATGAGGAAAACCAAGCAGGGGAAAGGCCCACCTGCTTGTACTTCTTCAGGATGGTCTCCTGGAATCCCAGGAAAACGTAAATGGCTCCTTGGTGCTCGTCCTCCAGAGGGGCCCCGACCACCAGGTCGTTGTAGGAGTCCTGGTTGAGGTCGGGAACGGCGGCGATGCAGGAGCCAAAGCGGGAATTCTGGTAACTCTGGAGGTCCACCAGGGCTCCGCTGGGAACAAAGAGGTTCTGCCAGGGAAAAAAAGGAAGGAAGACAATTCCCAGAGCATCAGCAGCAAGGCTGGGAAGAGGAGACACCCTCAAGTGAACGGTGCGGGGATGTGGGAGGGATTCCCCAAGGAAGGAGGGGGGAGCATTCCCAGGGATGGGGGATTTTGGAGCACATCCCTGGGGAATGAGGAGCCCTGAGCACCCCCAGAGCCAGCCCCACATCTGCTTTGCACCCTACATAAATAATTCAATAGTAGTAGTAGTAGTAAATAATAGTAATAATAATAGCAATAATAACAATTCCATATTAATAATGTGTTCCATAACAAACACAAATTCCATAATAATAAACATCCCATACTCAAAATAAATTCTATAATAAGTACAAATTTCATTAATAATAAAAATTACTATAATGATAACAATAATAATAATTCCATAAATAACAAAGTGCTTTGGGTGTAGGGATTCCATGCTCCAGGTGGGTTTTATTTGCTACATAATTCCAACTGGGGGAATTCCTCATCCAGGGAATCAACGTCCACAGGGAAGCACCTTTAGGCTCTGGAGGGGGCTCTGATCTCTCGCTGGGGGGGAGCAGGTTTGGAGGATGCCGTGTGGCTGGAGATGGTTTCTCCAGAGGGACATCCACATTCCCATGTGGCAAAGATCCCGTTCTATCCCCTCCTTGAGACCCCACTAGGGTACACAGCCTCCATGACGTCACCCAGATGTCCCCATGATGTCACTCACCCCGTGCAGGGTGTACACGTAGACCTTGCCCCTCTCCCTGCCCTCGCTGAAGAACATGGGCGCTCCCACCAGCAGCACGTCGGTGACGCCGTCGCCGTTCACGTCCAGGGAATTGATCTCGCTGCCGTAGTAGGAGCCGATCTGGGGGAGACGGGGCGGGGTGGGAATGGTGCCACCATCCCCCTGGGTCCCCTGGATCCACAGGGACATCCCAGCCCTGCCACAGCCGCTGTGGATGCTGCCACAGGCGGCTGTCTGGGGTTGGAAAGGGGGGTGTGGGTTGTATCACATCTGTCAGAGCTGGGGCAGTTCTCTGTTTTCATTGGGCAGTTTTCTTTATCTCTCCCACAGCCAATCCTCCCTCCAGGAGATCATGGGCCATTCATTATTAATTATCTTCTGTTCATGGACCATTAATTATTAATTATCTTCTGTTCATGGCCAGCAACTGTCCCTGCACGGCTGATCAAATCCCAGCATCCCATGGGGAGATGCTCCGCCCAGGGGAGGAGCCAAGGATTCCTACCTGGGTACAATCTGAGGTTTGGGACACCCCAGCAGCCTTTGCCCGCTGCATTCCCAGAGAAAGACCAGGCCCATCTAAACCACCACTGGAATTTCAGAGGAAAACTCCCCCCTTGTGCAGGATCCCTGCTGCAGCAGAGCCACAGCTGGCACTGCAGGAGGGCTGAGCCCCCATGGATGGGGCTGGGACACCGCCCTGACACACAGGGGGCAGCTCTTGTTCTCACTCTGTCAGTGGTTCGTTTTCTTTTTTGTACTATTACATTTTTATTTTTATTTTCCCTAGTAAAGAACTGTTATTCCTATTCCCATAGATTTGCCTGAGAGCCACTTAATTTCAAAATTACAATAATCTGGGGAGAGGGAGTTTAAATTTTCCATTTCAAGGGAGGCCCCTGCCCTCCTGAGCAGACACCTGTCCTTCCAAACCAGCACACCAGCACACCCATGGCTGTGTGGCGCTGCCGAGCTGCTCCAACTCGGGAAAACCAAGGGAGAGGGTTGATTTTTCCAGGGGGGAAAAGCAGCACAGGCTTCCCAGCCGGAATTACCTGCTCTCCCTTGAGGGCCTGGTGGATGGTGAGGTTCCTGTTGCTGTGCATGGTGAACAGGATGACCTTGCCCGTGTGGTTGAAGCGCGGCGCTCCCGCCACGTAAATGCGCTCGTGCTTGGTGGAGACGACGGAGGAGACGGTGTAACCTGGGAAGGGAGGGACACGGAGTGAGGATTCCCTGCCTGCACCCAGGGCCTGCTTTCCATCAGCCCCCAGCTGCTGACACAGCTCTGGCCGCTTCCCAAAAAGGGAAGCTTAAAAAAACCTGGATATTTGCAAAGATGAAATCGCCCAGATGGACCCCAGCGCCTCCGAGCCGCCCGCTCCGGTGCTGTGCTGGGAGATTTGGCACTGCCTGATCCCCGCTTCCTGTGCAAATCCTCCTTTTATCAAAGATCAATCAATTCCTGCAATTCCTGGATTTCTGGCTGTTTTATTTCATGGCTCAATCGAGTCGGACAGACACTCTGAGGTGCTGAGTGTTGGGAAGATGCAGCTCCTGCTGCTCTGGGAACACCAGGCAGGAAAAGCTTCCCTGGTGCTTGATGTCAACATTCCCAGTCCAAGAAAAGCCATGAATCCATCAAAACCATTCCTCCTGATGGAAATAACCCTGCCTAAGCCAGTGACCCCGAGCAATCCCTTTTTCCTACTGGGATCACCCCCTGGGCTGAGGCACTTCCATGGCTGCAGACGGGATTTTGTAGGAATATAAAGCTGAGGCTGCCAAATCCTGGTTTTCAACCCCAATTCCAGGTTCCTGAACCTCCAGGCTCAGGTTTAAATTCCAATGAAATCCTTAGAAGTGGAACGGGGTGCCCAGAGAAGCTGTGGCTGCCCCATCCCTGGAATGTTCCAATCCCAGGCTGGATGGGGCATGGAGAAACCTGGGATAGGGGAAGGTGGGATGGGATGAGCTTTAAGTTCCTTTCCAACCCAAATCATTCCAGAATTCTGGGATTCTATGGAACTCAAAGCCTGGCCAATCACGAAGCTGAATCACATTCCCTGGGAGCACATCCAGTTGAATTTTTGGTATCTCCAGGGATTTTTGGACCCTTTTCCCTGCTCACCAGCCTTACCTTGGGTCCCTAAAATTGTCCCTCCTGGAGGGATGTTCCTAAACCAACCACCAGCCCTGAGCCCCCCAGGCTGCTCCTCAGCAGGATACACCAGCATTCCTTAATATTCCCGGATTTCTCATTCCAGGTAGTGGTAAAGAGAGCCCAGCTGAGCTCCCACAGGGATTCCCATGGGACACCCACAGCCATCCCAGCTCAGGGGACACTCAGCTGTCACCCCACGGATGATCCACGTGTCCCCATTCCCAGGGAAGAGCCTGGAGGTGCTGATCCCACAGATCCCACAGAATCCCACCTCTCTCCCCGCCACGGGACAGCCCCATCTCCGAGGAGAGGCTGCATTTCACAACCCAGGCTGATATTTTTATTCCAGAGCTGCACATGGAACGGATTAACCCAGCAGGTATTTCCTGCCTAGGCATGAAATTCCATCGGTGCTTTGAAAGCACTCCAAGGAAAGCCGCGGATCACCCGCTGGCTCGGCTGCTCCTGGATCCAAATCCCATTTGTGCCCCGCTCTGGGGTCGGAGCTGGGCTCTTTCCAGGTGAGGATGCTCCTGTGCTGCATCCCACAGCTCTCCCATGAGGAATACCCCCCATGCTTCCTCTTTTTCCAAGGATAAAATCCCGAATTTCCCCCCGTGTGGCAGCGCGGCCTAGTTCAGCTCTCCCACCTAAGTAGGCCCCGTGGTTTTTCAGCTCCTCTGGGAATTCCTGCAGGTAGGATTCCCGCAGGGGGATGACCTTCCCGCTGCTGGTCTCCTTCAGGACAGCTCCGTTCCAGTCGTAGGCTCCCACTGCTCCCAGCAGGATCCCGTCCTGTGGGAATACAGGAGTGGTTTTATGGGATTTCTTCCCAGGTGGAGGCGATTCCATCCCTCTGGTCCCACACACAGGCCAAAAACACCTGGAACGCTGGAGGGTTTTAAAACTGCTGGAATGATATTTCTACCCTATTCTTGTTTTTTTCAATGTATTTTAATGTATTTTTTCAATGTATTTTGTATATTTTTTTCTCCCCAGGAATTCCCAAGAGTTTTTTCCATGGACATCCCAGCACGTCCTTCCCAAGAGGTTGTGGCATCAGGAGGATCTGCTGCAGACCCCAAGGGATGCTCGGGTCTCCCAACA